GAGGTGCTCGATCAGTAAAATTATTTTTTTTAAAATTAATTAAAGCTTTGTTTGTCAAATTTTTCTTACTGAATGCCATGATAATAAAAGAAGGGGTATGATTTTTATAGTTTTATTTAAGTTATTTTTTATCTTATGTTTATAACACTACCAAAGTAATCACATACCAATAAATAGTTACATAGATACTGATGCCATAAATAGATTAAAAATAATTAAAATAAAAAATTTATGAAAATTAGTTGGAATGCAACAACGTCCTACTAAGATCATCTTCTGAAATTAAAATACTTCCCCCCTTCAAATATTTATGAAAAAATCCTCAATTTAATATCAATATATTGTTTAGTTAATTATTTTGTCATATAAAGAATGACTAATTCGGAAAATATTTTATTTTCAAGAATCTGAAAATAAAAAAATCCCTTTTTTTCTGTGGATAATTTTTATTTGTTATAATTTGTGACATACTTGATAAATTTAAAAAAACAAAAGAAAGATAAGTTAAAAGTTTATTATTACAGAAAAAAGAGTAGAAGTGAAAGAAGAAGCAAAAAATTACGAAAGAATCACAAGAAAAAACTTAATAAAAACGACAAAAAATTTATAGTTTTGATAATAAATGCTTGATAACATCTCAAGTTCCATCTTTTAAGGACAGTTTCATTTCTAGCAAAGAAGGTGTCGTAGCATGAACAATTACTTGCTATAATTAATAATTTTATACAAATTAAATTGACCAATCTTAAAAATGATAAGATCAATCAAAAAATATGAAAAATTCAACTAAAGATTATAATTACGACAAATATTATGAACAATATTTAAGATACATTAATTTCTATACATTATGTAAATATAACTGGTAATAACTTACAAAAAAAATAATTTGAATTTTATTTATTCAAATTTAAAAATCTTTACCTCGCGAGATGGATTCAGGAAGACATAAAAAAATGAATAAAACAAGTAGAAAAGATTTTTATTTTAAATCAATATATTTAAACTATGCAGTACACAAATCAGTTTAACGTAAGCTTGAAAATAACATGATTATAAATAGATTTTTAAATGACTTTAAATATTTTAATATTTAATATTTTTTATATTTTTTAATTTTAGATATAAATATAATATTTTTTAAACCCCTATGCAGTTTACTGCACTATTGATTTGGAACAACACTGAGAAGATTAGCATCGCCCCTGCGCAAGGACGGCGCTTTCTTTGAGAGGTTGCCCACCATGGTTTGAGCCATGGTTTTTTAATTAAATTTTTTAAAATATTGTCTCATTTGATTTATTTAATTTCTTTTTTCTTTGTATGAATTTTTACTATTCATGAAGTATGAGGCATCCATTTGGTTATCGTATCTATAATTTATGCTTGTATTATGTATTCTTAAGTGTTGAGCTAAGTTATCAGATCTAGCAAAGCCTTAAAGCATCCTTTAACATGGCATTTGAATGGCCTCTCTCCTGTATGTATTCTATGGTGTCTTTTTAAATGTTCTAACCTTTTAAATGCTCTATTGCAATCTTTTTGCGTGCATACAAAAGGTCTTTCTGATGATTCTATCTTCAATAAATTTGTTTGTAATTTCTTTTTACTTGTGTTGTTTTCGGGAAAATTAAAGTTTTCCAATTTTTGATTTTTGTAATTTTCTCCTTTAAATTCATTAAAATTTTGATAAGGAAAATCCTCAAAGTCATAATTTTTTATTCCTTGATGGTTAAAATTACCTCTTGAAAATTCATAGCTTTGTAAATTTAACTGCATTTCATTTTCTATGCTTTCTATTTTAGGAGTACTTTTTACTCTTTTTACTGCTTCATCAACAATTTGTGCATTCCATTCTAAATTTAATTCATTGTTATAACCATCGAATGACCATTCACAACTATTAAGATCTATCTTTTTACTTTGTTGGTTGGTCTTTTCTTGTAAAATTATTTCATCACTTTTCTCTTCTGTTAAAATTTTATTTTGAAAAAATCTTAATTCNTCCTCGTTAAACTGATTTAGATTAAACACTTTTGTCTGATCAGGTGATCCACAAATACTTTCTATTGTATTATAATTGTAAAATAAGAGAAGATCGTTTTCACCTTGAAATTTAAATCCTTTATTTTCATAAAAATATGAAAAAATTTTACACAAATCTTCTAAAAAAATAAAGCACTGGCCGTAATAGCAGAATAGCTTTATTTCTTCTAAAAAATGCNGAGTTTCTTCTAATCTTACCTTTTCTATACCGTTNTTGGTTTTGTGATCTTTTTTTAATTTGGTAAGTAACAGAATAATATCTCTAACATGTGTTTCATGTTTATTCATTCTTTCCATAAAATTTGTTAAAATCTAGTTTTTTAAAACATATTTAGTTTCTTAACCAATGGAAGTTTGTTGGAATAAGGGGTATTTGTCAAAATTTTATTGGTATTTTGTTAAATTTTATTTTTTAGATTCTTTTTACCAATGAAATTTTTGAAAAAATTTTTATTTTACAAAATTGAAATAAAAAACTATTCGTCAAAAAGTTAATTTACCAATTTTTTAACGAATTATATTGGAAATTTTATAAAAAAAGTGAGTTATTAATTTAATCAAGACATTTCATTTTATAACCAGTGAAATTACTTTCTTTTGAAGTAAAATTACCTGAAAAAACAATGTGTACTTTCATATTTTCACTGAATTCTAACCCTGGTACGATTTTAGGTGTAATGATAAAAAATTGTGGTGAATCAATTTCACACAAAGATACTAAAGTGTTATGCACCAATTGTTCATTAAATTTATCCATTCCTTGATTTATTTCATCTACCAATCTAAACGGAGCAGGAGAGACTGATTGTAAAGCTAGAAGAAATAAAATTGTGGTTAAAGATTTTTCTCCACCGCTTTGTCTGTAAGAAGTAAGCAATTCTAGTTTATTATTATCTCTGAATTTAACTAAAATATTTAATCTCCAATATTCTGAGTCAAATGCTTCACCATCAAATTCAATTTTACCTTCACAACTAAATTTCTTAAAAAATGATGAGAATTTATCATTTAAAACGTTTATAAAGCGGCGAATTTTTACTACAATCTCTTTTTTTAACACATTAATTTTTTCTTCGACAGCTTCCGCATCATGTTCTAAATTATTTAATTTTAAAACAACCTTCTGTAAATCAGCTTCTTTCTTTTTATAATCTTTTTCAAGATCAGGGTCACAGTCATAAAATTCTAATCTTGCTAAATAATTGGCTGTTAATTCTTCAATTTCAGAAATATTATGAGGCAATTCACTAAACTTAATTTTTAAATCATCATTCATCGGATATTTTTTGAGTAATTCTTTGTATCTGTCTAATTCCTTGCATTTTTCGTTTTTATCTTTCACAAATTCATCTTGTATATATTTTAANTTATTAATTTCTCCNNCAATCTGCGATCTTTTATTTTTTTCTAAAGAAATTGTATGATTTTTTACCGTAATGTCAGCTTCTAATTTTTTAATCAATTTTAACTTTTCATAAATTTCTTGTGAATTCACAAATTCATTCAATTTGTAAGAGAAATCCTTAATTTTATTTCTTTCTTCTTTTATTTTTTCGCTAATTTCTTCTTCCTCTTTTTGTAAATCACTAAAATCTTTCAAAGAAACAATCTGTGATTTGTAATTTTGGATACTCTTTAAATAAAATTCCTTTTGTGCTTTTCTTCTTTCCATTTCGTTAAAAAGTTCATTCTGTTCATTTAAAATTCTTTTCTTTTTTTCTAAAGTTTCTTTCTTTTCCTCCAAAATTTGTACAAATTTTGTATGTTCTTTAAAATTTTCACTTCTAATTATTTCCAATTGCTGAATTTCCTCATTTAATTGAGAAATACCTTCTGTTGTATGTGGAGATAAAAGATTTATTCCTTTAAGTGTAATTTCACTTAAAACATAGTCGTTCTTATTGTAAAGGCTTCTTTTAATTTCAATATACTTGTTTCTTGCAGCTATTCTTCTGATATGTTCATATTTTAAAAAAAACTTTTCTTCATCTACGCTATTTTTTGAGACTGGGATGGCATAAAAATGCCCACATACATTTAACATATCCAAAACTTCTTCTCTATCCTCAATCAAATCAATAAGCATAACATCAAAACCTGCATCTCTTAGTTCTTCTCTGCTCAAAGCATTTCTCTTTTTATCCGTAAATCTTTCTAAAACATTTATGCCTAATTTCTTTTCATCCTTTAAAATTCTGACAAAAGTTTCAAAATCCTCTTTGTTTTTTACAATAAAAGAAGAAAGAATCTGAAAGGAAAGAAATGTTTCTACTTCTTTAATAAATTTGTTATNTTTAATTTTTAAGGAAAGAATTGGAGGTTCAATTATTTCATCTTTAAATAAATTTTTATTTCTTCTTAACCATTGTACAGCCTTAAAAGTATCAGGATGGTATTTTTCCAAATATTCCATTCTCCTATTTTCTTCTTTACCATGTTCGTTCTTTTTAATTTGTAACTTTTCTAACTTCAACTGAATTTCTCTGCTTTTCCTTTCTAAAGCTGATTTAGACATCTCTAAATCTAAAATTTCTTCATTAATAATTTCTATCTCTTTTAATTGAGATGTGCATTTCTTTATTTCTTCTATTTTTATATTTGAAACTTTTCTTTCTGTTTCTGTAAGTTTTTTAGTTAAATTTTCAAGTTCGTGTTTTCTGCTCTCTTTTTTGTTCTCTAATCCTTTAAGATCAATTTCAAATAATTCAATATTCTTAATTTTCTGTTTAATTGGTATTAAAGCTTTGTAAATTTCTTCATTCATTCTGTCAATTTCTTTTCTTTCTTCCTCAACCTTTTTTATTTCTTCAGAATTCATTATCTCTTCAATATTTTTATTAATTTCCTCTACCAATTTTTCTTTTTCAGAGATTGATTTTTTATAATCTTCTATTTTTAATTTAATTTTCTTGTACTCTTCGCTAATTAATTCGTAAGTTAACCATCTTTTTTTAATTTTCATTGTTTTAATCTTCTCTTCTAAATCATTTTTTTCTTTCAGTTTTTCTACGTCTTTGCTCAAATTTTCCACTATCTCTCCTATCCCCATTTTTGTTCTATAAGCAGTGTCAATATTTGAGGTAATGTAATTTCTATTGCTTTCATATTGTCTTAATTTTTTCATATTTTCTAAAATTGATGTATCTGGTTGACTTTTTAATGTTTGTGTCAACAGTTCTTCAGGAGATAAACTTGCGAACTCAGATACTTTTTCTTGTGGCAAAAACATACACAGATTGTCTACATTTATTCCTAATTTATGAACAAATGCTGCGTAATCATGTGCCTTTTTTTCTTCATTATTAATAAACCAATTAGTTTTTTTGGTATCTCTTTTTAATATTCTTTTTAAGGTGTAAATCTTACCCTGGTACTTAATCAAAGCTTCTATTTTAGCTTCCATACTGTTAAAATTTACATATTCAGAAATTTCTTTGGTTTTTCCGATCGTTCCTGGAGAGCCGCCAAAAATGAATGCGATCGCATTAGCAACAGAACTTTTTCCTGATCCGTTAGGACCTGCTATAAAATTTAAGTTAGGATGAAAAAAGAATTCAGTTTTTTTGTAAGTTTGGAAGTTTTCTAGCTTTAACGAAATAATACTTCCTTCTTTAAATGAATCATACATTTAAGGAATAATTAATTATTTTTTTAATATTTAATTTATTCTTATTTTTTATATTTAATTTAATTATTGATAATTTTGATTTTTATTAAAATATTTAATTTATTATTTTTTTCTTATCTAATTAGACGTTTTAATAAAAAATTTTAAAATTGATAACAATTTTTTTTTCGTTTCTCCTTATTTAAAGGAGTATCATTTTCCTAATTATGATCTTTAAATATTCAATTAATTTTTTTTTATGAATCAAAAGCGAAACTACATATTTTATTTCTTGTCTTTTATTTATCTTCTTCTAAATTGTGGCTACTTTTATGATTTATTTTGGTTATACAGAGTAGAAAAAGATTTTCAAAAAACTATAGATGATCATATTCCATCAGGAATCAGAATGCAAATTTCACAACAAAAATGGGATTTCAGCTTGCAAAAAATATATCCCAAACACGTAGAACAATATAAAGAAAAAATCTTAATGGCTATTATTGAAAATATATTTCTGTTCATCATAAATTTATTATTTTACAAAACTGAAAATAGAACAGATTTGTTTACGATCCCGGAATACATTTTTGACAAATTAAATTTA